TATGGAAGGTATTGTTAATTATATTAATGTCTTATTAATAATTATTATTTCAAAGACTCACCCCTTCCCACTATTCAAACATTTTTACCCCCATATTATATCCAATCCTGCCCCAACCAGCATTGTGTCTCTTTTTAGCTATTCATTGGTTTCACTTTGTCCATGGGGAAATTTTTCCAAAGCTTTTTGTTCACATGTGTTTTGAGATTAGATATCTTGGAAACAATTAGCACATTTAACACAATCAATTTCCCAAACAAATTACGAAGTGATCAGATATGCAAATGACAATAAATTCCAAGTGCTACAAGCTTAGTGCACCATAATGCATACTAATTTGCTTGGAAACTTACTCAAAAGTCTGTTGTATTCAAATGTCTGACTTTCTGCTTCGAGATGCAATGGGAAACATTTGTCAAAAAGTTGATTGAATTTTGGTGACATATGTATATGCGTCTGTGTGTGTGTGTGTGTGTGTGTGTGTGTGTGTGTGTGAGAGAGAGAGAGAGAGAGAGAGAGAGAGAGAGAGTTGTTGCCTTTTACTTATTTCTGTACAGTTCAAAGTGAAAAAAACCCCCACAGTTTAATAAAAAAGAGACATGCTCAGAAGCACACATTTTGGGTTATAAATGACATTCAAAGGATTTTAAAGATACTTAGAATATGTATCTGCGAAGGCTTTCACGGCCGGGATCTAATGGTTGTTGTGGGCTGTTTGGTTCTTCGTTCTAACGTTTTGCCAGTCTCTGTGGCCGGCATCTCCAGAGGACAGCACTTTGTGCTCTCCTCTGTGCTGTACTCTGAAGATGCCGGCCACAGAGACTGGCAAGACGTTAGGACGCACAACCTTCAGAACACAGCCAAAGAGCCCGAAAAACCCACAACAACCAATACTTAGAATATCTTGACAATCAGAATCTGAAATAAAAACTGATATTGGACTACGTAATGCACAATTGTTAAGTGAGCTAATAGGTCATTTGTGGAAATTTTGGTTTGATAAGTTGACTGGATAGCTCCGTGGTTTAGATATATGGCTGCAGGAGCCAGAGGTTGGAAGTTCAGTTCCCCACTGTGCCTCCTGTGAATAGAGCCAGCCTGTGTGACCATGGGCAAGTTGCACAGTCCCAGGATGATGTCACAAGAAGGGAATGGTAAAATCACTTCAAAGTAGAAACCCCGATGTTCATTCCAGTTCGTCCTTCAGATGAACAAGTATTTGGTGCTTCCCAGCCCTGCCTCCTCTGACATGCGCCTGCTCAGAGGCTGCACCCCAACTTTCCTGCCCCACCTCCTCCAGCATTACCTCTGATTGGGCTCCTGCCAGAGTTGGTGAGGCTGGGAACATCTGTTCATCCAAAGGACGATCAGCATGAACCGCCGTTTCAGTGGTTCATGCCCGTATTCTCTACATGGAAAACCCTGAAAAGGATTGCCATAAGTCAGAATTGCTGTGATGGCACATGATTAATATTAAAGTGATTTTACAATAGTCCAGTCTACTAATAATTAAAACTCTCATATAGCACTTAGTAAGGATAGTGTTGGAAAGACTGCATTTGAAATGCTCCCAAGCTATTTTATGCACTATAAATTTTACATCTCATTAAAATGTCACCCTGGAAGTCATTGTTGGTTCTTTGTGCAACTTGAGGGTTTTTTTTTTCTCTGAAGTGAAATGATACTCCTGTTAATTGTTTTCCAGATAAATCTCAAAACAATGAAAACATCACCAAAAACAATGAAAATTAAAAAGAAATGATTTTTTTTGATAAATGTCAGATGCCTGTTGTAGACCTTGCATTCTACGTAAGCACATATTTGCAGCAAAGAAACACT